CAGCCATGAAAAAATTGTATCGTATCAAGAACGAGTTAAGGAAGCATTTTGGAAAGGAAGATATCCATTAAGATATCGAGGAACGAAAGATTGTAAATATTCAAGCAGCCATATTAAAGGAGTGCAAGGAAAACATTCGATGTAAAAGGAGGAGGAGGGTGTGATATGTAGATAGGAGAATCATAGTATAGAAGAAAAGAACTGGGAGAAAATAAGGAACAGAATGCCGAGTGAATACATATGCAAGAACCAATTTGTGAAGATGCATAACAGAAAAGGAAGAGCAAAAGAATGCATATTAACAGGAGTAAAAAAGAGATAAGCGAATGGGGAAAGGAAATGGAAGAGGAAGAAATCACACAGGAAAGACGAGTAGATGTAGAGGGGAAGGAAATGAAAGTGATAACTATACATATATAATCACGCAGAATGGAAGATTTTTAAACAATAAAATAGATGAAAGGGAGGAGAAAAATATTGGAAGCTGATTTGAATGCCAGAATAGGGAATAAAGGAAAATGGGTAGACATAGGAAGAAGAACATAAGATAGAAAGTAAAGAGATCAAAAATGCAACAAAGAGGGAGAACTGTTACTGAAATTATCAGAAACAAGTTGTAAATCAGCATATGAATGATTAAAGCGCATTTTTGGTAATGCAGGTCAGTAGTTTATTAGCGAAGTTTAAAATTATCGATCTCACGAGTAATTTTCGCTGCGTTAAATAATTAATTTTATTTAATTTCAATTGACGGTACGTCTTCATTTTGTAAAACAAATCACAAAGTAAATAATAAGTTTTTATACTGGTAGCGCTACCTAACGGTAAAATTATAGCACCTCCGAAACCCATATCGAAATTATTTTCTTCAATTATCGATCTCACGAGTAATCTAACTCAAAATAGACTAGTGCCTGCACATCTACACTATAGCAGAAAGCTTTTAGTGAAAATTTCTAAAAAAAATTCTCTAGCTATTGTAGTTATGGAGATCTCACGCGGACAGCCGGCCTGCCAGCAATAACGAATATAATAGCGTATTTTTTTTCAAAAATGCGCTAAAAAGATGATGGAGAGGTCGGTAATACTGGAAGAAATAGAACAATAATTTAAGGTAAGAACGGGAATAGAAGCGGATAACCAACCGATGGAAATGAGTCTAAAAAGGAAGACAAAAAGATCAAGAAATGGAAAGATACAAAGAGACAGTTATAAAGAAGAGACACTGTGGAGGCTTGCGACGAACTGCGGTAGGAAGTCCGCGCACAAATTGCATTAAAATTAAACAATATAGCGGAATCAAAATTAAAATTTAATTAAAAGAAAAATAAATGATTGTAATTCAATCACACCAGTGGGCGAAAAGTAGCGGCAGTCGGTGGAAAGGAGGAACCTTGCTGCTGGCGAAGGATCTAAGAACATCAACGTCACACGGACAAGCATTAGCGGTAGCTACGGGAAATCAAATGTGGAAAAATCAAAGCAATTCCCCCTACCCCCCGCCCTTATAATTAACGGAAAGGAAAGTATCAAACGCTGACCTTTAAAATTTAACGGGGCAGAAAAAAATTTCAATGTACGCGACCGGTAAAGATGCAGAATGGCGAAAGAGCGATGATTTAAATACGCTACGGGTGCCAAAGTGAACGCGAAAAATTACGGTACGAACGTAACTTGCGGAGATGCAAATCTCAATAAGATCTCCACTAAACAACGGCTTGACCTTATATAAAATTCGGCCATTTCATAGAGGGAACGCCGGAACGTCCAAAAATTAAAACTTGTTTAATTAATTGTGCGGCCTGCTGACGTCCTAAAAATCTCATAAGTGGTCTTAAAATTCAGATTAATTAAGAGCGCGCCTTTTCGGACCATTTATATCCTAACCGGATGCTGTTTGCTGCAACTCATTTAATTAGCAACGGTTAATTGTACTAATCAAAATTTCCAAACTCAATAGCCCAGTAATGCCCAATTGCTACCTGCAATTTCGGGCCAATCGCAACAGGTCTGCGATAATGAAATAAACTGCACGAACTTGTAACTTGAATGCTCGTTTTAAATTAACATGGGAAACCGAAATTATCTAATAATTACTAACCAGAGCGGAAACTCTAAAATATGTTCCCACTGATTCCCCGTGCCGATGGCTGTCGAATGCTACAAAAATAATTTACATATCTCTACGGAAACAATTATAAAACTGATCAATTAATTTCTCTATTAGTGGTTACACGGCTCTACAAATTAAAGCATTACTGTGATACATTAATTTCTCACTTCTAGAAGAAATAAATAAATTTAAAAGTTACGCTTTTCTTTGTAACGAAGCGCCCAATTATTCGCCCATATATACCAGGTGATCATTAAAGCTAGTAGCGGGCATCTATGTACGATGTATTCATAAATTCCGGTATGAAAACTGAGCGCTTTGTTACAGACCTATCGAAAGATACCGAGACGAACTAGGATAGTGTACAGAGGAGTGGAAAACTATGAGGGGGAGTATAAAAAAGGCAATAACGTGGCAACAGGTAATTGGAGGGGATGGGGGAGACAATAAAAAGGAGTGGTGGGACAGAAAGTGTACCGATGAGAGAGATAGATACAGAATATTAACGGAGAAAGAAAGCAATGGAGAGATAGAAGAAAAAGAGTTGAGAGCACGGAAAAAAAAGATAAACGAAAATGTTAGGATGGAGAAACAGAATGAATGCGAACAACTACTGGAAATAAAAACAAAGAAGAACTTTTATAAGATGATACACGGAGAAAAAAGGGAAAGCATAACAAGTGGGAAAGGAACACGAATAGAAAACTGGAAGCATCACCAATGAGAGCAGGGGATGGAGGAGGGGTTAGAGGAAACAGGAAGAGAAGTGGTGGAAGGAGACGAGACATCAAGAAAAAAATTGAGCATGCAATTAAAGAGACTGAGAAAAAGGAAAGCGACAGAGAGACAGACCTTTTTTATGCAATGGTGAGAAGGGTGTCGATGTGTGGAACGGAGAAATGGAGTGGGAAGAAAGGGGCTGAACTAGAAGGAATGCAAAGAAGGTATACCAACGTGTACTGGCGTCGGGACGCAAAGCGGTAAGGTTTCAGGAAAGGAGAAAAAGAGAAAGTGAATTGGTGAAAGAATGTTTATCAACAAGGATAAGCGCAAAAGGAAACTGGGTGGAACAAAGAAAAAACGTAATGAAAGAAATAAATACAGACGTGCAGATGTCGAAAGGATGAAAGAAAAAGGGGAAAGAATGGAAGATGAACCTACAAAAAAGGACATAGATATTGTTGTGCAAACCATGTCAATGGACGTCAGTTTACACCCAAAAATAATGATGGGACACCGTGTATATGAGAAATATTTCAATTTATTAACTCGGAGAGGGAGAGGAGTGACGAATAAGCACAGAGTTAGTTGTTTTTTATTTGAATTCGTATTTCAGTATTTGTTGTTCCTTTATAGAATTGTTTGTAATTGCAAAATTTTTGTTTAAATTGTATCATTTGTGTAAATTATTCGACTTGGTTAAGACGCCTTAAGTAAGAAACATTTGGTCAAGCCTATCGAAATAAGGAGCGCAAAACCTTTGAGCGACCAGATTAACTGGATTATTTAAAAAGAAAAACTGTAAGGAATTTAAGATTTTTTTATTCGACCGTCTGCGTGCGGTATACTATGTCCAAACAAGCTTTGTAAGCTTCTCTTTACTTTGAGGAATTTTGTTTTAATTTTTATTAAATGTGGTAAGGAATAAATTTTTGTCATTGTGTGTTTTTTCGAACCCATTGTGCGACCCGGATTGAGTGTTCATGTCAGATTTTTGTTTTCATATCCCAGACCCATTTCATGGACAGGTATTTTGTGGGTGGTGTAGTTGGCCGATTACACACAATATACAAGTACAGCAACAGAGAGCGAGAGCTCACGAGAAAACAGTAGGTAAAAGGAGCTTATAAAGGGGTGGTTGCCGAAATATGGAAGAAAAAACAATAAACTAATAGCGAGGTTTAGGTACGACGTAGGAAACAAGGAGAAAGGGAAGGAGAAGTGGACGGAAGAAGAACAAGAAAATGGAAATGCAGACTTTGTGGAAAGAGGAAGATATTGAGCACATGTTATGGGAATGCAAAGAAGTAAAAAGAACAGGGGTAGCGGGAATGAAGATGAGAAAAAAGGAAGAAACACATAAATTATGTACATGTAGTTAAATTTGGAATAATATATGGAAGAAAAAACATCAAACTAATAGCAAAGTTGAGGTACGAGGTAGGAAACAAGGAGAAAGGGAAGGAGAAGTGGACGGAAGAAGAAGAACAAGAAAGAAAGGAAATGCAGACTTTGTGGAAAGAGCAAGATATTGAGCACAGGTTATGGGAATGCAAAGAAGTAAAAATAACAGGGCTAGCGGGAGTGAAGATGAGAAGAAAGGAAGAAACACACTAATTATGTACATGTAGTTAAATTTGTTGTATGTAAATGGCGTTAATAAAGAATTGATTGCCTACTGTTTGGACAAAATACTTATTAACAAAACCAAGCTTTTGTTGCTCCTAGAAAAATAGGCGACGGGAATTGTCGAAACCTGAAAGAATGGCACGTTCCTAAATCTACCCAAAAGATTGATTATAGGTAATTATACTGAATATACAATCAATGCCAAAAGGTAAGGAAACCACTTTCTTCAAATGAAACGGTAGAATTTACGATTCTAAGAACATTCTCTACATGTAAATTTAATTGACGACTACCTAATTAAAATGGATTTATCTGAAAACTAAATTCCTTCTTACTCTTTCAATACCTACTTAACTAAAGCATAGTTTTACATGGAGTCATCCGATGACTCGTCATCTAACGAAAGACGTGAAAGTCCATTTAAGGTTGGGACAACGAGAAACCAGTATTTGCGGATGAAGAACTACTCTAACGCCGACCAAGTAGTGTCCTTTAGTTTACAATCATTGTCCGAAATTGTTATTAAACAATTGCCGTTCATCGTCGACTTGAACCGACCGCGTTTTCCTGACGTCGAAATTCTATAAAATCCGCGCTTCGAGGTCGCTCTTGAAAATACGATCCCGCGCGCGCGCGCCCCGTCTCAAAACTTGGCGTTAAAGGTTTATTTGCAAACTTCGCGTTTTAATAATAAAAAGACGCGGTTGCGGATTTAGCGCGAAAAGTTTTATGAGGAAGAAAAATTTAGTGTCTCCAATTAGAAGGTGGTGTAAGGAGTTGTGCGCGCTTTATTAGTTTTTAAGGTAAGTTCACCTCGATTGGTTACGCTTTTTAAATATTTATTTTTAGAAGCGTGTCCGCTGATCTAACTTTAAGGTAACCTTTCACCCACACTAAAATCAGTTACTTTAATTAAATGGTATTGGTTAGCGCATCACGTAACAAAGTGACACGCGTGATGTAATTGCCCATTCATTATCATAGTATTTACGCGTACAACACGTATTCAAATGCAGCAAACATTGTTATTTTAGTACCGTATGTGTGCTTATGTGCAAATGAAATTAGGCGGGGCTCATTTAGAACCTAGAAATTTAGTTTTGAATTTAGAAATCGCAATTTCCCTCGTGGCTACTAACATTGCGAAATGAGAATCGTACGAATTCAATGGTGCCTACTTAAAAAATGTAGGTATATTCAGTACGAACTACGTAAAACGACCAAAATGTTTGTATAATAAGTTCATTTCCATTTGGAACTACTAAACAGGTTCTTTGTCTTGTTTTTGGACTTAATTTCAGTTGTAACGAAATATACCTAGCATCAGCGCCGCATCAGTCACAGTCGGATTCCGATAGGCGTCGTTTTTGCCCTTTTGTTAAATGTAAACTTTTTTGGCAACCACGTAATTTTGCGGTTACCAAATTGGCTACTGCTGATCGTGCCTGTTAAATGAGCTGGAAAAAACGATCCTTAACAGAGAATATCGGGCTAAAAGTAAGACACACCTTAGTACAATACAATGGATCAAGCACAAATTTCCATTAATGAATTCTTTAACACTCACTCTGCATAATATATATCTATAGTTCTATTGATAGCACATTTTTCACATTCATATTTGTCTAAATCGGTTCCGCAACTCAGTCTTTGTCCGCAAGGTTGACACCTAAAGTTTAAAAAAAACTCCAGAGGATATTGCCTCGTAAGAATGTTTGAGTGGTTGAAATTTTAGACGAATCGGCCAACCTGGCCCATTACAAAATTTCCACTCTGTCATATATTCACTGAAAATTTACGAAAAGAAATGCGAAACGAAGGAAATGCTTCTAAGATTTATTAAATTCCAAAGATTCCTACAAGATTTCAAGGCGTTTGAAAAAACAAGGTGATCCCCGGGAGGTAGGACATGTAATAAGCTGGAAACGACTGCAATTGATCCGGAAAAATTAAACAATCGAGTTAGACTGAAACTTTCGTCGGCAAACTTCTTGGATAGATTATTCGTTGAATCGCTGTCTTCAGGACAAATGTTTTCAATCGTTATCCCTTTGTGTTTATAGAATGAAATCAAGCAAGATTTTCATTGTTAACCAGGTTTTAAATGGCGAAGAGAAAACTTTCAATACATTCATCCACCATAATTTTTATTACTATTTTTAGCGCATTCCCATAAAAACAAAAAAAAATGCGCTATTGTGATCACTTTGTCCGTCCGTCCGTCCGGTCGCTACTACATCTTTCTCTTAAGAGCTATCGTTCTACTTTTTTCGCTATTTGGTTCGTTATGGTTAGGCTAGTCAAAATAGGTGGTTAAGGTAGAAAAAATTAGTAACAAAGTGATCTCTGCGGAAATGAGTACTCAACAGGGTCCTTATTAACCCCTCAAAAATCGCACTTTGTCGCATTGGTGGAACTTGGAAAAAAATGGCCGCCATCTTGATTTTTTTCGAATTTATTAAATATTTCGTAAAGTATACATTATATCAAAAAAACTCAAGAAACTTTTTTTATGGAGAATCCAAAGTTACCTGTCATAAAAAATTTGGGGAGCCAATAATCGCATGTTATGAATTTTACATTGAAATCCCTATGATGCGTTACGCAAGTCACCACCCTGTATAGTGTGTGACGTACCTAACTGGTTAATATCATGAATCTTCTTTGGACACCGGTACAGATTTAAAATAATTTTAAGTCCTGATTTAATTAAAACTGCTATATCTGCATTAAGTTCTTGAAATACATCTAAGTCTCGACACAGGTGTGATACCCAAATCATATAAATTTCAATAACTTTTTTGTTTTTTGATCAATAGACTTAAACCTTTTTTTATCATAGGTAACTTTTGATTCTCCATAAAAAAAGTCTCTTGAGTTTTTTTGATATAATGTATACTTTACGAAATAATTAATAAATCCGAAAAAAATCAAGATGGGGGCCATTTTTTTCCAAGTACCACCAATGCAACAAAGTGCAATTTTTGAGGGGTTAGTAAGGACCCTATTGAGTACTCATTTCCGCAGAGATCACTTTGTTACTAATTTTTTCTACCTCACTTGTATAAACCTGCCTAAATTGACCACCTAGGTGTCGAGGCTTGCACTAAGGAAGGAATTTTTTCTGCATTTTTACTACAAAAGTTATAGTAAAAAGTCAATTTTTTCATGTACCATCATTTTACACTTTGGCCGTTTATTAACGATCCCCGAGATATAATTTTGTATTGTCTGTCTGTTATCTGTGTGTCTGTTGTCTGACTGTTCGTCTGTCTTCCCGTCCGTCTGTCTGTCTGACAGAAACGTCGGATCGCTTTGAAAATTGCTACGTATCTTCTCAAGGATATAAGAAAGGTCGCTATTGTTTTTCAGCTACGTAGACTAAGGGGCAACAAAGTTACAGCGCAAAAGCTGAGCAAACCTCCAAAAAATGGGGTTCTTGTATCATTTTTGTTCCAAAGAACACATGAATGTCCTGGTTTTCTGTGTTAGTACATATTCCTTAAACCGCAAGCAACCATGCAGACGAATTAAAAAAATTTGCGCATGCGCAATCCTTTGTTAAGATACTTTAAATGAAATTTTGTATATAAGCACCTCAAACGAATCAAAAAATTTCTTTTGCGCATACGCAATCCGGACTTTTTTATTTGTTATGATATTTAAATGAAATTTTGTATATACGTACCGCAATTAAAGGTAAATCTAATACCAAATTAAAAAGTTTGTTTTAAAAACTATGTTGATTTGAGAGGATAGAATCAACCCCTTAAGGAGGTGTGTTGTAAATTGATGCGTGAAGATCTCGATGATCGTTCGGTACTCAGTTGTATATTTCTGTGCTTCTAAATTCTATACGCTAAGATGATTCATATAAAATTCAAGTTGAAATTGCATTTCAAAGAATAGGTTGTGCATGCGCAGTGATAACTTTCTGATTTGTGGACGGATTTTATTGGTTATAAGATTGGATACGAATTTGGTTAGAACAGTGCTTTTTGTAAATCGTTTACGATTACTTTTTTAACTTGTTTCAACTGCGGGCGTTTAAAACAATTTTTTTTAATATTATCAATTGTAAGTGCATAGATCTATTCTTTTGTTGCGTTCGCGACTTACGCCGGAAGTTGCAGCATAAGATAATACACTGGACGTTTAATTGATTTGTCCTCGACTAAATACGTGAGAAATTTACGCGACGGTATTCGGTCTATCCAACCGTTCGTTTCAAAGTGTTAGTACATTTAACTGTAACCTAAGGGGAAAGAAGTACCACGTTTGGTGTACACCAAATATTCAAATTCAAATTAATTCACGTTAATTCAATTTCAGGTAGATTCAAATTAATATAAATTCAAATTAATTCACGCTGCACAGACTGCGCATTGCCAACTTTCATAATTATGGAGATATTGCTTTAAAATTTTAACCAAAAATGCTTTTAGTAAAAGCAAACGTATCGCATATTGTAAACATCAGATTAATGCGCAATATCAACTGTCTTATTTATCGAGATATCTTTTTGAAATTTTACCTATAGCATAAATTAATTGTGCTTATGCGTGAACGCAACGCCAACTTTTTTATTTGTGGAGATATTTTTGTGAAATTTTAACCATATATGCCTCTAGTAACGAAAAACATAGTACACATAGCTATGGCCTTTTGGGAAGAACTGATAAGTTTATGGAAAATGCGCTGAAGTTATTCGCCTTAGGACGAAAACCTTTTTACTTGTTTTCATTTACAACAGATGCGGAATATGTCGCGCCCAACGAAACAGCTAAACAAATTATAAGGCCAAACCGTCTTTTTAGCGAAATTGCACCCACATGCAACGGTACCAACGCTTCATGCGGGCAATAAACCTCGCTCGAAACCTAAGTTTTCACAAGAGATCGAAACGTATTGATGTACGAGAACGAGTTCAAAAATGAACATTGTACACGTTGCACGTGAAGAACAAGTTGCGGGTATTTTAACGGAGCTAATCCTAAAAACTTTGTCTTCAAGAAAAATTGGAGATGCTTACATTGTAAAATACATGGGAATTCCGAACGAGGAAGGTAAAGTGGTATAGTAGAGGAGGAAGGGTGATGGATATGGTGATTTGTTAATAGTGTACGAGTGTTTCTCTGTATTTTTTCTAAATCTGTATTTGTCCCCATGTGTAATCCCAAAAGACTATGTAAGTACTGGTGTGCCATAAGTGTTAATAGATTTGATTATGGTATTTCTACTATGTAACTGTGTATTCTCTGTAGGTATTGTGTGTTTGTTTTATACATGTATGTTTAATGTGCGTGTTTTGCTTAAAACCAAGATACTTACAAGTTTCATTCTTGTCCATGGAAATTATTAAATTATGTTTAATGTTTTAACCACAGTTAGTAGTGTTTAACAAATATGAAATTGGATTAAGAGAAAGACAAAAGCAAAGCGCCTTGAAAAATTCCTCTTTTAATTTGTATTGGGTCAGTAATAAGTTTAGTATCGTTTAGTGTAAGTGTTAACGTAGTGTTCCAACATGACATTATGTAACTGAGGAATTGTGTAATATTGTTGCTAACTTTGCATATTGAGAGTACTTGTTGTAACCAAGAGTGTGGCACTGAGTCGAATGCTTTTTTGTAATAAACGTATGCAGTGTGTATGTTTCGTTTGTTATGTCTGCATTGTTCAAGTATTACAGAGTCTATAATGAGTTGCTCTTTACAGCCTGTGGAATACTTGGTACACCCTTTTTGTTCTTCGTATAAAATGTTGTTGTCAGTACAGTGTTGGTATATTTTGTTTGTAATGCATGTAGTTAGGATTTTGTATATTGTAGAAAGCTATGTAATTGGTCTGTATTTTGATCGATCTTGGGTATTGTTGTCTTTTGAAAGCATGTAAGTGATTCCTTGTGTAAAGAATACATGAGTGCGATCTGGTGATTTAAGAATTTCAGTAAATTGTGGTGCAATATTCTTATTTATTTGATAGATTATACCATTGTTTAAAGTATTTAAACAATGATTATACATAAATCACGTATAAACAACCCTATACATAACAATCCTCTAGATCTAGAAATAAATTTCATGTTCGTTCTAAACTTATAATACCTACGTAGGTAGTTTTTTTTTAGAAAATTTGCATTTACATGTACCTATAGCAATCCTCGATTGCGAAACAGTGTCCACAAGATGAAGAATGTATTTTATCCAAAAATACCAACCTGCTGAAGCGAAAGGTATAAAAGCACGTAATTCGGCGATCATTAGTCACCCAGCCCCCTTTCTATTCAAATTCTAGTTGTTCCAAACGCACCCCTAGACAGTTACTTGACGCATTTTAATCGTAAGGCTTACAATTGAAATGTTTTTAACATTGAATTTATAAATTCAATCCTTTTACTTTGCTTGAAACGTACAGATAGAAGCATGTTTGCGTATAATTACCCCTTACAGCCACTCCCGAAAGAAATTATTAAAGGAAATAAAGGCGCTCATTCATTAATTTTACTTTGACCTAAAATCTCACGAATGCAAAAAAAGATCGAAGAACGGAAGCGGCTTGCCTTGCGTAGGTTACTAAAAATGGACGCGAGTACCTAAAGTAATAAATGATGTCTAGGTCATAACTGCTGATGGCTGTCCACCTTGACATTAGCACTATTTAACGATCGTTTTTCGCCAAAAGGTCAAGGCGGGAATGGCTGTGCATTGTGTTGAAGGGGTATTTGTAATACGCGTTGAACTGAGAAAATATCACGATAATTAAACGTCCTGAGTAATGTACAAGCAATTTCCCATCTGATGGTGGGCGGGTGGCAATCAATAAAGACACCTTACGTAACTGAGCGATAAACCACAACTATTTTGTTTAATGACGAATTTGGGTTAACGTCTTTAAACCTTTTATAAAAAAGGGTAAAAAACTAAACTTAATTAAATTTTTACGTTCTTCTGCCCACATTTGAATGTTGGGACGTTATGAGCACATCGTGCGTACGTACCACTTCTGCAAATGCTACAATTTGCAAATGATTTTCATCGCAAGATGTTGCCAATGTCTATTACGACAACCTACAATTAGGACTAACAACGTGCATCCTCAATTGAATCATTTCGCAAGCCTAATTTTTCATTTAATCTCCTACTATTCGAGTAACGATTATTTTACGTTTATTGGCATCGAACTTTTAACGTCCATTAATCAATTGGGTCAAGTAAAAATAGATTGAGGAGTTCCTTGTGGAATGATCGCCATCGGCAGAATTTAAAGTAGGTATGGCGATTGGTTTACAGGAGTATAAAAGTTGAACTACTACCTGTCAAGACGGTTGGTTGGTATAAATTAATTTCTTCCGTTGAGACCTTTCATTAGAGTACCATGAAGGATAAAACTAGTTCCACCCCCCACCTCCGCTTTTGATAAAAGGTCAGAAAGAAAGGCGGTAGTTGACAAAAAACAGTTCCTTTTGTGGAACCTTTAATTAGAATATCATAAAAGATAAAATTACCAATTATGGGTTGTCGCATGTAAGAGTTATGCACTTTCAAAAGCAGCATCTCAGGAAATAATTCATGATGCGCCCCTCTTAAGAGAGCGAAACAATCCAGGACTCTAAGACTATGACCCCAAAAATTGTTCAACACGACAGAAGTGGGTCCGGACGGACAAAACGCAAACAAAAAGCACATTTTTTAAATCTTTAAAAATGCGCTAAAAATACGTATTCCAATTCCCTGGATTCACTATCGAAGATCTTCGCTGTATTCTTTCAAACAGCGATTTGCGTTTTCCCACAACTGTAATAATGTAACGTGGCTTCCCACTTGGTGACTTTACGAAATCCGCCTTTTTATTTTACGGACGCATCCCTACCAAATTTTCTAATTTTCTTTGCTCTGCCGCTTAATAATATAAACCCCATTTAAAAGGCAAGTGGCAAGATTCGTCCTTCCTCATTTTAGTAAATTTAGATTTGCGAGGAAGTTCGTAGTTTTCATTTTAAAATGAATGGTCATATTTTTGGCTCTGCGTATTTAAATTATATAGTGTTGTTGTTAATGGCTTTCGAAAGTCTTAGGTTCCCGTGAGTAGAAGATAAAAAGAGATAATCTTACCTCAGGAATTGGGAAACTGACAAAATTGCATTGCTGCGATTGCAATTTAGCAAAAAATTGAGTGCTTAGGTCAGAGGAAAGTCTAAAGCTCGTATCATTCAGGGGAGTGCTTAGGTCAGAGGAAAGTCTAAAGCTCGTATCATTCAGGGGATACCGCGAATTAATTTGCTCTTGAGAAAAAATGGTTCTGTTAATTACCAGGGGCCATTTTGAAAAAGCGTCAATTAATTAAGTAAGAATAGGTAGGGGTTATTCGGGGAATTTTTTGTAGGCATTCATGTCTGGGTTACGAAACAAAATTTGTTTTCTGATAGGTTAACTATGGAGTCCGTAGTATAGAACAAAGTAAAAAGAATTCGGTTCCGAACCACTCGTAACATCCCCTGTGTGGATCAGATTGATAGTTTTCTTTGAGTAGCAAAAAACGTGCGAGATTTGTCAGGAAAGCTTCCATCTTTCGGGTCGTGATTGTGGGTATTTTTCTCGAAACGGAAATATTCAAGCGAGCTCCGTGAGTTACAGTCTAAGGGGAAACTTCTTGATGTACACCCCTCTGAATTAATTTGAATAAACGCGAATCAATTACGCCCACACCGATAGCATTTAATTTTATTGAAATTATTTCCATTATTATTGTCATATTTCTCTGAAATGTTATATAGACACGGTGTCCATTTTTCGAGTGCCACTATGGGGATCTCACTTATCTTAAGAGATAGAAAGCTGGTTAAATGGGGGCAAAGTTGCAAATTTCCGTGCTGAATAAGAATCTGAAAATAAAGTTGAAATATTTTCAATACTTTTTTTTATCCTGTTTTTAATTACGTTCAAGATGACGGAGAAACACGTGGCAACTTTAGTTTTTCTTATGGGCGCCATATTGAATTTTGACATTTTGGAATTACGTCTTTTTTTCTCTTTACAACGATATATCACACATAGTGGTTCAGTATCACATTTTTCCTAAAAACACAATTTTTCATTTTTTGAGAAGAGTGCTTTGGAAAAACAAAACGTTCTTTTGTTGTCAACAAAAGTTTGACAGTTTGATCCATCTGTCTGGTTGCAGCGTTGTCAGAGAAGTAGAAATTTGATTTGATCTCAACCGCTTGCAAAATTGCCTGCTCATATTAATTGGGTATATCACCATATTGCTGTCTACATCTTTTAAAAGAATCATATTCGCCCAAGTTTTTATGCAGCAAGGAAAAATACCTCAAACTAGGTTGTTGCCCCTCTGGATAACGCTGCAAGTATGTTGCAGCAGTCATGTGGGCATTTCGATGAGAAGTGTAGTAAATTTGGATCATATCTCTTTGATCTGCACTTGAAAAAGGCAATTTCGCATTACATCTAGCATAAACCTAAATGACACTACATGAAATAAGTCAACCTTTTGTTCACAACAAAAGAACGTTTTGTTTTTCCAAAGCACTCTTCTCAAAAAATTAAAAATTGTATTTTTAGGAAAAATGTGATACTGAACCACCATGTGTGATATATAAGAGAAAAAAAGAAGTTATCTCAAAATGTGAAAATTCAAAATGGCGCCCATAAGAAAAACTAAAGTTGCCACGTGTTTCTCCTTCATCTGGAGAGTTATTAAAAACAGGATGCCATATTTGAAATCTCCATTAAAAAGTGTCCGAATAATGTGTTAATTAGAAATGTCTACTACGATTAGTTTATCATAAAAAAAATAAAAACGAAAATCAGAAATTTTTGTTTTTTTGAGATATCTTCAAAACTATTGAAGATATTTGAAATGTCTTTTCAGATTCTTATTCAGCACGAAAATTGGCAACTTTCTATCTCTTAAGATAAGTGAGATCCCCATAGTGGCACTCGAAAAATGGACACCGTGTATATATATACAGTATAATTGCTACCTTTTCCACTGCCATTGCAGTAGTCATCTGAGAGAGAATCGAGCATCTGACTTACTTCCCATAGATGCAATTCATTTAATGGGCGTGCAGGAGACTGGGTTGAAATGTAGAAAAAACTGAAAAATTTGCTGTACGAAACACCTGTAAAATTCCTTCCTAGGTGTAGTTTCGGGAAAATTGTGAATAAAATTGCAAAAAAATATCTGATAGTGATACACTTGCCCAATGAACAGACGATCAACGATCAAAGACGTTTTTTTTTATTTTTGGAAATGCGCAAACAGTGTAATAAATGTAAACAACATACTCAAATAGCCACATGGCGCCAAAAATTAGTATAAATAAAGTGCTATATTAAAATGTACTTAGCTAAATATGAAAACTACTGAAAGCACTTCAAAGACCAACATTTGCGCATCCACTTCCTCTAAAAAATGCTCTCCATGCGGTGACTAAGTCAATGTTGCAATGCATGTAGCACTCAAACTTGAGGGAACGAATTAGTTCAAGTACAAATATTTATAAACCTGCTCTAGTTTGAACGAAAATAAACCGCGTGTGTGTGTCACTTCATTCATATTGCAATTACATAGAAATGGCTTTGTTACAGATTTCTCGTCACGATGGCACTCTTGAAGTCGTTTTGTCTTTGCGGCAGCTTGAGGACAGGAACGCTCATTGCCGGTTTTGCTGGAATTGTAAGTATCTCTTCCCAATTTGGCCGCGATTGTTAACGTATACATCGTAGATTCTTGCAATTCTGGGGATAGTGGTCATTTTTACTGTTCCCGTGGAGATAAGGACAATCGTTTTAGATTGGCTACCAAAGCTGGCGGTGCAAATCATTATGGCAGTTAATTTTGCAATGACCATCTTGATCTCAATCCTTCTTATTATTGGTACTATGAAGGTGCGAGCAGTTCCAAAATCGGCATAAGGGATCGCTCATTCGTTGTGTTTCAGAGGAACATGTACCTGATGATCCCGTGGGTCCTGCTGGGTATCATGCTGGCCATCGGCCTTGTGGTATCCGTCATCTATACGGCCGTGGATTTCTATCTGAAGAAAGATTCGCTGACCGGAAGCGTGGTTCTCGTACTCGGACTAGCATTTTTTGGTAAGTTTGTGGACGCTGCAGAACCTCAAAACGTTTAACTAATATTTTAGTGGTCTACGTATACATGTGGATGGTTGTCTATAGCTTTTTCGCGATTATTAAAGAGGAAACGGACCGAGGCGCCTACACCAAAGATCCATTCCGAAGGGCTTACAATTAGATTAATTAGAACGAACGAATATATTTTTATGTCCTCATTTACTCCGGCTATTGTTTCAATGTGCCTTTAGCATATTATTAAGATAGTTTATTTTTCGAAAAGACTAATTATTGTTAATTTTTGTATATTTTGTGTTAATAAATTATTTTTATGGTTAACAAATGGCACATAGCGTCAATGATGATGGTATAACATGTTACATAGAAAAATAAGTGTTTTCCAATTACGTTCCAAATCAGTAATAAAATATGAGGTGTTCCATTAAAAAAAAAGCAAGTTTGATACGCCACTGGAATACAGCAGGCCCCTGATGATCAAACCTATTTTAGAAATATGGCGACGGTAAATGTGTACAGGGTGACCAAATAAGAATGCGAGGTACTATATCTGGGAACCTGTCCATCGTAGAGGCTTGCAGTAAAAAAAAGTTATTACTAAAACGGCCACGAGAAAAACCGGGAGAATATTTTGTTTAAATCGGCTCAGCCGTTTCAAAGATACAGAAGGTGTTCTTTACGGAAACATTTGAATACCCCCCCCCCCACTTCATTTTTAGAGATACAGCAAAAATGGTCAAACAAAAAAGGTTCAGATTATTGTCGACTTCAAAGACCTGGCATCTTTTTGTTAGGTTAATATAGCGGAATTAACAGAAACATCACTTTCTTAGATTCCAGATTGCAGTTACGCCCCCTAGCGACCATTTCAGAAACTGAAAAATATTTTCCAGGTTTTTCTCGTGGCCTTTTAGTAATAACTTTTTTTACCGCAAGCCTCTGCAATGGATAGGTTCTCAGATACAGTACCTGGCATTCTTAGTTGGCCAGCCTGTGCAATTTTACTCTAAGATTTTTGTATCTTTATGGTAAAGAAATTATGATCCGAAGAGTCTTAGGTGCTACACCCTGTATATCCCGTAAACATGGATCAATTGTTGGTGGTAAAGTATAAGAAACTAAGCATAACTTTGCTTAAGCCAATGTGTTTGTTTAAGCATTGAAAGGAAATTAATTATTTTATTTATTCATAACCCAAGTTCGTAGTTTATTTAACCGTAAAGAAACTAAAAGAGACTTAACAATGTAAAGTAGCAAGCGCAGTTAGAAATGCAATTTTAATTCATTAAATTAATACTTATACTGCAGTACGTGTGTATATTAAGTATCAGGGAAATGAAGCGGATTATTGTAATTAAAATAAGAGCGAGTTAAAGACGTCTTGTTGTTACCGAACGTTGGATAGCAAAAAGCTTGTAATACCGCGGAGTAGATATTTAAACCATTCCTTGTTGCGTTTATGAGGCCAAGATACCTCTATATAATAGAGGAATCGATAAATATGAGTGTAAATAGTGGGAAAAGGGCGATTGTACGCAGTGTTTTCGAGATTTCAGTGGTGGATGATCCAATTGGAATGAGATAGATACCACTGGATGCGTCTATGAATTTCCTTGATTCTTCTACTGGAAACGTCTCGTCTATATCTACTATTGTCCCTTTGTGAATACTCATTTCCGACGCTCCATTACGGACACTCGCAGGTTTCAAGGTCACGGCCGAGATCACAGTATCTATTGGAGTCGAGAAAACGTACGAGTTACCTCTTAGGTATCCAGGAAAAGAGTTTGGTCGTTTTCTCAAGAGAATTATTGCACAAATGTGCATTTTGGCATCTATGGACTTCAATCTTGGTGAAAGTATGGCTTAAAATCCGTGGTCGGATGGACTGACAAATATTTTTCTTGGTCGTTAAAACAAACTTCGAAACTAGAATCCTATAAGTGTTTGCAACACTAAAACAAAATAGCTCCTATAAGCAAAGAAAAAAAGTATTTATGGAAGTATCCCTCCGTCTTTCACATCCATCGTAGAAAGAGCAGTGTATCTCACCGCATTTTTAGGGAAATTTTTCAAAAGAAAAAAATTCCCCTTATGTGATGGCTTTGTCCGTCTGTTCCTCGTGTAACTGAAGAACGAAAAGCTCAAACTTTCGTCAATGGATTTCTACGAGTTCAAGGATTAGTGCTATTGAATATGAGCCGGATCAAAAGTCTGGTTTCCGAATGTGAGCCAAAGAGTGGCCTAAAATTTCCCTACTGAAAATCGTATGCGATGCTTCGTATCTTGTTCTTGACATGGACGTTTCAGACCTCCCATTTTCCTCAGGGGGCAATCGATTGATCATAATTTATTTATACTCTCACTCACAGCTCACGTAAGTCTGAGAAGCCAATCACTGACTACCACCGTTGAGTGAACGCCATTTGTAACTGTCGTATAATTTCAAATAACTTGCGTCTAATTGGGACAGTGTTGCCAGATTTAGAAATTTAAAAGTGATAATATCTACTTGAAGCAGTCACTTAGAGGAACATTTTTATTAGACTTTCATTTTCGCATGTAGGAAGTGGAGAGGCGAGGGGGGGGTCCCACCGCGTGACTTTGCCTGTAAACCAAGATTCGCGATTTACCATTTTTATTAAAAAGTTCCAGCGCACTTCTTATTACAAAGTTTTATGCAAAAATGCCCACTCGCATTGATAATAATTATATATGTTACATTCTGTTCGAAAAAAGCAGGTGTCCTCGTGCGCCCATTGTGGTGTTTCTTTGATTTGTTAGCTTCTTGCAGCTCTTTTAACATACAGATAGAAACACTGATTCAAACACCAATAGATGCTAACGTATGTGTTTTGGTTTGTATCTTCCCTTCTCTTTCCACATCCCTCAATGAATGAACACTCTATCTTACCCGAGTCGTCACAATTCTCTTGACATGTGTCAAAGTCGAGTGTGCCGTCTTCGCTCAAACCACCAATCTCTTTCAAAACACATTCAGTGAACTGGTGCACTTTCGGGCACTTAAACGCTTGTTTCATTGACAGCTTCTCCATAAACGTTTGATCCACCCCTGTAATCCGCGTACATTTCGCCTTCGCCTTCCAGAAATCATCAGGGTCTTGCTAAAAATGAATGGAATTACTTTTGCCGTTGAGTAGGTTTATCGCATACAGGTAAACTGAGTCCGATCAAGCAAGCGAAGACCATAATACAAGCATTCATTTTGCTAAATAAGGTTGCTACCTCTGTAGCCTAAATATATACAAAAAGAGGTTCATGCTTCACGGAACAGAAATTATTATAATAAGGCACTTAGTCACCTGGTTGTTAAATGTAATCTAAACGAATGCACACAAACGCGCCTTTTTTTATATAAGTAGGTACTTGAAACGCTTATGTTATTTATTTATCCATAACAATTATGTATGGCACATAATAACGCTTACATTTTCGACTCCAGTGATCTATGAAAATCAAAATGTCATGCCAAGGGAAGTTGAGTGAAATGACATCTGTACCGAATCTTAGGGTCCACTCAAACCGACGCGGACATGCGGGAACGCGAACGGGAGCAGGACAAATGCGGGATACATTGCATATATTCGATGTTTTCCGGGGGCCGTACCGTTCGGTGACCGCCTCGTGCAGTTCCGAGTCTCGAAGAATCTGTTCGTTGAAAGTTATTCGCCATATCACTATCATGTCAAACTTTCGAACACGATCATAACGGTCAACGTTGAAATGTTTCCGAACACGTCACTGTGTTTGAATGACAGAACGGCTCGTTTCAATAAAAGTGTTCTTACACGAACCACCACGTCTCCATTGTCACTAAAATGGCAGCTCCTGACGAACGGATACCCGCACTCTTTATCCCCACCTTGCGTGGCGCCAATTTTAAATCATCCTTACCTCCCTGCCTAATCCTGCATTATCCGCATGCGTCCAAGAAAAGAAGAGTCACTATGGCCAAATTTATATGGTTAAATGCGTCTATTCAGTACCGAAATCGAAATATCGTCTCCACAGAGCAGTAGCAGCGCCCGGACGACAGAACATAGTTCGATTATTCTGTGAACGGTCCGTGCACAACGCACCTGGGAGTCCCACATCGAATCAACGAGAAGCCACGCCTAGATTTTGGTCGGTCCGTGTGCGTCCAACTACGTCCAAATTCTAAAGGCGAAACCTCGCTTTACTGTTATTGTACAGGGCGAGTCAACGATTGCGCGGAGTAACTTAACGAAAAGATTTTTCGATAGAACGCTTTTGTATTATGATATGGTTGAATATTCCCCACAGTTTAAAAATATTTGGAATTATACAGGGTGCGCTCACAAAGTAGGGCGCTAAAATGGAACATTTTTTAAATGGAACCCTCTGTATTTGAAGGCATTTTTTATTTCTACGTGTAATTGTACGACTTTTTTATTACATGGTTACTATCCGAAAAACTAGTAGTTTTAAAGATAATTCGATTTGTAAGAAAAATTTGGCATTTACAAGTGTCAGTTTATTGTCAAAATTATTACTTAAATTTTGATTCCAGGCTCTATATCTTTCATTCTAGGTACCTAATGTAAAATTCAAATAAATACATCTACTATGAGAACTATTTAAAAAAAAGCTTACAGGGTGTTTTTTGTAGGTCCAAAGTTACAAAATTTGATATTAAAAAATCACACTTCTTTAAATGGAATACCCTGCATATTATATTTATATCTTTTAGCTCTTCCAAAAACGTTCAACTTTTGATAATAACGTTCTATACCTATCTCTGATAGTTTTCGAAATATCTTGGTTTTCCTGGTTTTTATATTCTAAAAACACATTTTTTGAACATTTAATTTAAATAACCTAACAAATAAAAAAAATTGCATTGCGCAAATACAGAAGTTGGAATGCGCATGAGCAATATATTTTTTGCGTCTGCATAATTACTTGAGGTTTAAGAAATATTTACTGACACAGAAAACCGGGCATTAATATGTTGTTTCTAACAAGAATTATAAAAGATACCCTTTTTTAGAGGTTCGGGCAGTTTTTCGGCTGTAACTTTTTGGCCCGTTAGTCTACACAACTGAAAAAGAATAACGACCTTTCTTTTATCCTTACGAACATATTGTGTACCAATTTTCAAAGCGATCGGACGTTTCTAAACACTGACAGACGGACGGACAGGCGGACAGACAGCAGTACACAATTATAAACGATCTCGAGGATCGCTAATAAGGAGTATAGATTTATTTTTTTACCTAACTTAATATTCTTTCAGTTTATTCGTTACACATAATGTGCAATTTCATAAACCTCCACCACAATTTTTTATATTCAACTACATTAACCCGACGGTATTTTTTATACATTTTATAAGACCACATTGTATATATTTTAGCTACGGCCTGAAGATGACAATACTTAAAAAGTCGAAATCGATCGCCTAAAAGAAACATGACCAATAAATTTTCTTTGGAATTTTATCTATTTAATACTTATAGACTTACTATTTACCCGCCATCCCCTATCTTGAGGCCAGAAGAGGTTTATTAACCGACGAGTAGCCGAGGCATATCAATGTAATTATACAACAAGCACCAATTTAATTAACCAGAAGAAGTAGGAGAAGCGATAAATTTGTAACATGTCAATTCACAATAGAGCTTAGTTGGTTAATTATAATAATTTATTTTATAGCATATGTTAAATTTACATTTTAATAGGTTTGTAAGCCGTTTCTTTAACCGTAAGGATAGATAAACTGATTATTTTAATCGTAAGGGTAGATAAATGTGAAACAGTTGATTGTGCATTTTAATGACATCTGTCATTCTTCTTTCAAATGCACAATATAAAATGACGTTCAGAACATATGACGATTCTGTTTGTATGGAAACGATCGCGATGGCAGAACCTAAGCTTGCTATTTTTGACGCCTCTAAATTAAATTCAGAATTGTCAGAAGCTTTAATAGTTATTTATGCATCAAGGGCATTAAGGCGATATTTATGCCGAGGGCGACAGAGCCCGAGGGCCCCCGGCCCGAGGGATTGTAAGTCGCCCGAGGGTTAAATATTGAGTAATGCCTGAGGTGCATACAACATTTTATTTTTCATCGTTCCAAAGAATGCATTTCCAATATACAATATCATGATTATTGTTTGCCCAACATTAAAGTGCTTCATACGAATCAAGTTGCATCTTTTTTATTACATAATATAACCCCGTCAATCAATTTGACAGGCCATTTGAGGGCATAATGAGATAACAATCCATTATGCCCTCTCATTAGGCCCTTGGGCGTAATAGACTGCTTCATATATCACATATGACAGATATAATTGACATATAATAGGCAAATGAAAAATAAAATGATTTATGTGGCTTCTGCCATAATATAAAGTTTTGTATTATATATGACGATAAAGGGAAACTTTACCATCTCGTGAAAGTGCCACTCGTGAGTGACATCTTTCACTCAATGGTTAAAATGTTCCTTTATCGTCTTGTATAATAAATAAGTATAACCAACGGAGCTATTTTACAAATGAAGGGTTTCACAAACTGTGCGTCGCGACGCCCCAGGGGCGTTGTGTGTCGATGCATCCGAGCTGAGAGAGCTCCGCGCACATTCTGTCGACCTCCTTCCATAATTTCAAAAATATTTTCCCGATAATCTGGAGCACTATGACTGCTAAATACCGCGACAAGAAATTGAGAATTTAGCTCATATGCAATGGTTTAAATTAGGTATATTGGGAAAAAAGCAGAGGTCTACGCAGTAGCAAAGGAATGATTAGACATTGCCACCTGGATTAATAATTCGCCATTTTGTGGGTGTCATACGAGGAGATTTTTTGGGGAGATTCGTTCGTTAGTATGCAACGCACCCAGAGTACTACTGATAGCAAAACAATTTTCGTCCTACAGAATTTGGGAGTAAATATGCAGCGGGATCAGGTCGTGATCCTTGGAGTCTGGAGAAAATGAAGATTAACATATTGTTAATTAGTTACATAGATTCCCCATATAAAATTTGGATTATTTCGTGTCTGATCTGTGAAAAGTTCTATGAAGATTTGCGTTTTTTGGGAACAATAATAGAGCACTATACTGCTGAAGGAATTTGAGTGCGAGCTGTGTGCGAACTTGACAATCAAATCAAATAATATTTAGGAAAGAATTAAGTGAAAGTGTCGAATTTTTTACGCCACAAAGGAAATGATTGTGCAAAACAAACGGTGAAGATGCGAGTTCGCGTACTCGACCAAAAATAAATTCGTTAAATGCGCGAACTTTCGCATTAAGTTACTGCACCCCGAGTGAAACCATGAGATTTTGAACTCCCATTTTTGGAATACGTAACCCTAGAATGAAATCGGTGCCCGCCATTAGAATAAAACATGAACAAAAATGAGATATATCATTGCATCAAAAAAACACTCGTTATTTTAGGGTTGCAAAAGTTTCGTGTACAATCAATCACTCAGGAAAGGCATAATTATAACATTGTGTTAGTGCATTAATTCGTCCAACGCATTCACCTAAATATAGTTTAGGTATCTTTCAAAAACTACTTAGTTACAACAATGAATTTAGATCATGCGCTGACTTGCACATTGAAAATTGACTTACTTATCATTTTATCAATTACATTTTGAAAACAAGTAGTGCTGTTTGCGACACCTATCTGCAGCAGACCCTAACCAGAATAGAGCGCTACAGGCGCCCCAATTTGATTTAATTCCGCATTTTAATAATGTTATCGGGCGCAATTGTGATAAAGGTCTGCGAATTTCCGGACCTTTTATTCAGTTTCAAGGTAGCCGCGATACGAATTAAGTTCATTCATGTTCGCTGTCAAAAATTAAATTGAAAAGAGAGGAGCGAGAGACTCTGTAGATCAATAATGTAGTAGTAGGACATGGGGACGACATACGGTTGTGTTTTGAGGTCGGAAACTACTAAATATGTGCATTAGATATCTAAGCAAATTAAGTGTAATGTAATGGTGCTCCGGTTAAGTTAGTGTTAAAAATGCCTCTAGTGGATTTCATACGTAGAGCGTCCACTTATATTCTGGGAGCGGAAGATGATCCGTTCAATGAGAAAATGGCACGTTACGAAAATAACGAAGTGCTGTTTTGTAAAAATAACGTGTGCGTCCATCCACCGGCGATGATCCGGCAAGAAACTGACATCCTTCACCACCCAGGGTATTTAACAATCACCACGAAGACGTTCGTTGATCAGTATAATAACGTGAAAAGGCCGACGCTTTTCCTGACCTGGATACCCAACACAACCTTAAGGAAGTGTCCCGGTGCCCTTCAAAACGGATACAGCTTTCTGAAGAGGAACAGTGCCGACAGTTTGGCATCGAGCGATTCAAATTCCAGCACAATTTTCGATAAACATCAGCCAGAGCTCAAGTGTACAAATCCGTTTTTAAACTATGACGAAAAGCATTACATGGAGGAATCCAGCAGCGACGACAGTGATAAGCAAGAAATCAAAGAAGTTATAAACATAAATGTCGAAATCTCCAATCCGGACATAGAAATAACAACAACCCCCGATAGTGTTAAAGATGAAAGCGCCGAAAAGTTCAGCTTCTCCCGTTCGGAATCGGTCACATCCAACGAGAGCCAGTGCAACTGGATGTCAACGCCTGAATTTCTCGCACAGAAGCATAATTTGGCATTTCCAGAAAGCAATAATTGTTCTCCAATTTTACCGACTAAACAACCCCACAAGTGCAGAACTTTTAACGTGGATTTAAGCCAGATGAGATCGTTAAGGTTGTTTTTCAGCGACGCGAACTGTACATGCGGACAGTTAGTTGTCGCGTCCAGAGAGTCTCAGTACAAAATTTTGCATTTTCACCACGGCGGTCTCGACCACCTAGCTCAAGTCTTGCATCAATGGCACTCACTGCTGCACAGCATCAAGTTTGCGAAAGGTAACTGCTTTCGAACAGTCAAAACCCAACCCGCTTTAGATTTTATTTTAGGATACGAGGAGAATCTGCCCTACCGCCACTTCATGGTCTGTCGCGCCGAAGTCTCGGACCTGGAACTGCACCCCGAAGAAGGGCAAGTGACAAAACTCACCGAAGACATGTACAGATCCCTCTTCAACGAAAAAGGACAGCTGGAGGACGACCTGGTTTTACGAAAGGCGATTTTCTTCGCGGGCATGGAACGATCGCTTAGAAAAGAGGTTTGGCCCTTCCTTTTGCACTGCTACCCCTATCAAAGCACCTACGAGGAGAGGTCCCAGATTGCCGAAATACGCAGACAGGTAGATACGCGCGCAAAACCTCACCGTGTACTCCAAACGTTTCCTCCACAGGAATACGAGGAAATAACACGGAGACGTTTGGATTTGTCGGGAAGTCAGCGCAATCACTTCAGGAGGAAAATTCAGAGCGTCGTGGAGAAGGACGTGATTCGCACGGATCGGGGCAACCCCTTCTTCTCGGGGGACGACAACCCTAATATAGCTATAATGAAAGGCATTCTCCTTAATTACGCCGTTTATAATCCCGGACTTGGGTAACGCGGAAAGTTGTAAATTAACCCGATTAAATTGAAACTCAATAGGTACACTCAGGGAATGAGCGACCTTTTGGCACCGGTCCTATGCGAGTTGCGCGACGAAGTCGCGACCTTTTGGTGTTTCGTTGGCCTTATGCAGCGGGCGGTTTTCGTAGCGACGCCGACCGACAGGGATATGGATATATCGTTAAAGTACCTAAGGGAGCTGGTGAGAGTCATGGTTCCGCACTTTTACGAGCATCTCGAAAAGCACCGGGACGCCGCTGAATTGCTCTTTTGCCATCGCTGGATCCTTTTGTGAGTAAAGTTAGGCGCTCAACTTTTTTCGGTTATGGCCTCGTTTTTAGATGTTTCAAGAGGGAATTTACGGAAGCTGTTGCGCTACGGATGTGGGAGGCGTGCTGGGCGAATTACCTTACAGATTACTTCCATTTGTTTTTATGTCTCGCCATCATTTGTGTGTATGCAGATGATGTTATTGCTCAGGATTTGAGAGCCGATGAAATGCTCCTACATTTTAGCTCGTTAGGTAAGCAAATTCCGTTCTTTGATTGTCGATTTCAGCGTTTCGAGCAAGTTTTCTGTAGAATTCGCAAAAACAGAAAGCATTTTTTCGTGCTGATTGTAAATTATCGCATTCAGATCGTGACTGGTTTACTAATAGACCCATTGGCTTATTCTTAATTTGTACACGACTAACCCCTACTATTATTGAATTACTTTTTCAATGTCGATCTATTCTTTTTCCACCCATAGGATACCCATACTTCTTACGTTATTCACAGGAACAAAGTCGAAACTCGAAAGGAGGGAGGGGTATCTTATATGGTGATGAGAAAAATAGGGGTAGGAGGTTGTAAAATTCCCTTCTATTGTCCACATTGCAAAATTGAAAAATACCTACTGATATCCGTATTGTTCTAAATAATAAAAATGAATTGTTCTAATAATAAATGCTGCATACTAGGAAAAAAAGGGTAACGCGGTAATATTTCATGTAATTGGATGGATCAGCAAAATCATTACAGTTATGCAAAATATTCTGATTTAGGTGTAAAATATTGTGAAACCTTTAGACTTACCCAAAGTAATACAAAAATACATTACTGTGGCGAGGAAATATTGAAGGACGAGGCCCCTTTGGGGCCGATTACTTTAATTTCTGAGTCAAGTAGTGTCATTTTTGTGCGAGTTTTGTATTAAATTTTACCCGAAATCGTATTTTAATTTTAATGAAACTAAAATTTCCTGACAGAAAGTAGGCATGAAAATGAAGGTTTCAGGACGATTTTGGGTAAAGAAATATATACCAGGTAGCGAATGCATATGGGTTCAGGTTATATATTTTTTGCCAAAAAAACCTATGCAAACCGGGTTTTTATGTAGGCAAACTGATTTGAAATCGGAGAAAAATAATTAAAACAGCTGAATTTTTTCCACGAACGAAATCCCGGGGGGTTGAAAGGGGTGTTTTGCAATTTGCGTCAAAACTATTAAGGCGAATATGTGTAATGTAAAAGTAAGTTAAACAACTGTTGATGTCTACACTTTTTTCTCATAACCTCAAATTTTTCGGGACAAACCGGAAAAACTGTCTTTTTCGTTTTCTATTGATATTTATGCGAACAAAAGTAATCGGGGCCTGATATTCGGAAGAAAGACACTTTTTGGGCCCGTAAAATGGAGACGTTTCCGAGATATTGACGATTTTCGAAAAAACACCTCTTTTTCAGCTGGATGAAAAATATTTTTTTTTTCATCGTACAGAGCTGTGCGGGGTTACAAAATTTTCGTAAAGACTTCTATTTTAATAAGAAAAAATAAAAATATCGTTCCAATAGAAAAATTTCGAAAAAAACGCCAGAAACTGAAAAAACAGTTTTTCGATATAATGTACATACATGTTTTTTTAGTATCAATCACAATTAACAAATTTTTTATTACGTATGTTTTCTTTTCTTTATAGATATAAGTACAGGGTGGCCAACTAAGAATGCGAGGCACTGTATCTGAAAATCTATCCATCGTAGAGGCTTGCGGTAAAAAAATTTATTACTAAAACGGCCACGAGCAAAACCTGCGGAAAATATTTTTGAGTTTCTGAAATGACCGCTAGGGGGCGTAACTGCAATCTGGAATCTAAAAAAGTGATGTTTCTGTGAATTCCGCTATATTAACTTAACAAAAAAATGTCCGGTCTTTGAAGTTGACAATAATCTGAACAATTTTTGTTTGACAATTTTTCCTGTATCTCTAAAAATGAAGTGGTGGTGGGGGGGGGGGGGTATTCAAAGGTTTCCGTAGAGAACACCCTGTATCTTCGAAACGGCTGAGCCGATTTAAACAAACTCGGGTTAGTTCAAAAGAGCTATTCTTCAGCTACAAATATTATACTATTTGAAGTTTTGTTAGTTTCACATATCGCCGCTTGAGGGCTTTTTTCGACATTCCGACAGAAATGGTTAATTTTCTCAAAAAAATTAAATGCATTGGTTCGATTTTTTTTTCATGAAAAAGTCGCTAAATGATGCCTACACAAGTTCGCGAAAACAGCATCTCGATATCTTGAGATATATATATATATATATATATACAGGGTGTCCCTAAAAGGTCTGTACAACGCGCTACCAGGGGTTCTTGGTATCAAAATAGGACGATTTAACCCAACTTACCTCTATCCAAAAGTGCTTCGGTAAGACGCTATCTACCGCCAAAAATTCAAAAAACAAATCGTTATTTTTATTTTATCGGAAAATGGTTTTGCCGATTAAAATGAAAGTCGGGATGTGAATGTCTAATGTAAAAAGGGTCTTTCTTTGTGATATCATCGTTTTGATTGTAGTTGCTATGTAGGTGGTAAAATACTGACCATCCACATCTGAAGAGGTCTAAAACTTTTTAACTACTATTTTGACGGTTCTGAATTTTTAGACACTGATAGACAGTTTACTTGCAAGCATTTTTTGTCTCTTGATGAATATCGCTATCTGTGATGGTTTACGAAAAAAAAAAAATTTAGGCATGATGAATGGCATGCACCATACATACATAACGTACCAATGTTGCAAAGGGCACAGTTTAATTTATTACGCCGTATAATGCTTTGTATGCGTGAAAATGGTGGTCACTTTGAACATTTAGTACGTTTAAATTAATACATTACATTGACTTACTCTGTTGTGTTCGTTTTATTCTACATTACTTGCTTGCACTACGGTTTCATAGCCTACTTCTTGCTTGCACTTATGGTTTTTGAGGAACAATCGCATGTATGGTGCATGCCATTCATCATGCCTAAATTTTTTTTTTTTCGTAAACCATCACAGATAGCGATATTCATCAAGAGACAAAAAATGCTTGCAAGTAAACTGTCTATCAGTGTCTAAAAATTCAGAGCCGTCAAAATAGTAGTTAAAAAGTTTTAGACCTCTTCAGATGTGGATGGTCAGTATTTTACCACCTACATAGCAACTACAATCAAAACGATGATATCACAAAGACCCTTTTTACATTAGACATTCACATCCCGACTTTCATTTTAATCGGCAAAACCATTTTCCGATAAAATAAAAATAACGATTTGTTTTTTGAATCTTTGGCGGTAGATAGCGCCTTAACGAAGCACTTTTGGATAGAGGTAAGTAGGGTTAAAAATCGTTAAATCGTCCTATTTTGATACCAAGAACCCCTGGTAGCGCGTTGTACAGACCTTTTAGGGACACCCTGTATATTTTTTTTTCTTATATCGTGATGGCCAGCATTTCGAGCATTTACGGTGGCATTAAAAGCTTCCTTTTTTAAATCGATCCAGCTTAGGGCCACAAATTATATAATAAAAATAATTCCGGAAAAAAGAGCTTAAAAAAATAAAATTTTGAGGGTATAAAATTTTCTTTGGCCTAAATTTTAGGTTAGGAACAAGATATAGAGACAGGGGCGGACTGGGTACTTACTAATGAAGTTGGCGGAGGGGGGGGGGGTAGCTCTGCGGTGCACTCCTTTTTCGGAAATCAATTACAATACAGTTTTTTTTTAAATTGCAGCTAATAATTAAAACTTTTGATTGAGACGTCCGATCGAAAAAGTACGAATTGTTTTAGATTCTACGCACAAAAATTAATAAGAAAAAGTGTTTTCCCGAGAAATTTTGGTGCAGTCAATTTTTGGTAAAAAAGGAAGGTTATACACTGCCTTTATTTGAGCCTCGAAATGTCTCAGATCGACCCGGAAAAAAAAATTTCTTATAGAATGTGGCCTGTAGAATCCATAATTTCAAACAGTTCCAAAATTGGGCTACTAGTTCAAAAGTTACAGCCCTTTGAATTTTCTTTCGAAATTGGTTTCTAGTCCATAACTTTTGATTGAGAAGTCCGATCGAAAAAGTACGAATTGTTTTGGATCCTACGCACCAAAATTAATAAGAAAAAGTGTTTTCCCGAGAAATTTTGGTGCAGTCGATTTTTGGTAAAAAAGGAAGGTTATACACTGCCTTTTTTGAGCTCCGAAAAAAAAATTGTCTCAGATCGACCCGGAAAAAATTTTTTTTATAGAATGTGGCCTGTAGAATCCATAATTTCAAACAGTTCCAAAATTAGGCTACTAGTTCAAAAGTTACAGCCCTTTGAATTTTCTTTCGAAATTGGTTTCTAGTCCCATAACTTTTGATTGAGAAGTCTGATCGAAAAAGTACGAATTGTTTTGGATTCTACGCACCAAAATTAATAAGAAAAAGTGTTTTCCCGGGAAATTTTGGTGCAGTCGTTTTTTGGTAAAAAAGGAAGGTTATATACACTGCCTTTTTTTGATCCCCGAAAAAAAAATTGTCTCAGATCGACCCGGAAAAACATTTTCTTATAGAATGTGGCCTGTAGAATCCATAATTTCAAACAGTTCCAAGATTGGGCTTCTAGTTCAAAAGTTACAGCCCTTTGAATTTTCTTACGAAATTGGTTTCTAGTCCATAACTTTTGATTGAGAAGTCCGATCGAAAAAGTACGAATTGTTCTAGATTCTACGCACCAAAATTAATAAGAAAAAGTGTTTTCCCGAGAAATTTTGGTGCAGTAAATTTTTGGTAAAAAAGGAAGGTTATATTCTGCCTTTTTTTGAGCCCCGAAAAAAAAATTGTCTCAGATCGACCCGGAAAAAAAATTTCCTTATAGAATGCGGCCTGTAGAATCCATAATTTCAAACAGTTCCAAAATGGGCTACTAGTTCATTCAAATGAAACCTGCTATATTTTTTTAAACTTTCAAATGTGGAAAAAAATTCTACATCGATCAATTATTAAATTCCCTATACCTATCTGTGACCGTTATATGCATAATTTGCTTAGGAAGAGTCATATAAGTACAGGACCCTAAAGAAAAGCTGCCGATGGTCAAAAATTTTGAAAAATCTTGAATAAGTTGGAATCTTTTGACGCTGGGTATAGGGAATGTGGGTTCAAATGACGTAGATTTTCATGTAGATTTCGAAAATATAATAAAATATTTAAAATAAGAAAGTTGCTATCCACATCCGGTAAAACCGGAAGTGAAACGATCATAATAATACTTTCTTTCGATAGATCATGAAAAACTATGTTGGTGTGCAAATTTTCAGATTTAAATTATTAATGAAAGTCTGCTAACTTTTAGGTAACGGTTTGCGTGAAACAGCCTGTGGGATGACAGGTAATTTCAGGACATACTCGTAAGCTATCAATGGGCAAAAACTTTATGCGATGCAAAAACAGAATTCCAAAATACATCATTATCGTTGACACACAGACGGACGAACACACACATTTTATATTGTGGCAACACATAAAAAACTCTTCAACGCATGCGCCCTTTCGTGGTAAGAATTTTGAAATTTGTTTTTCAAAATCGAATAGGGTATACCCTCGGATATACCTGAAAACCTATTCAAAGACATGCCATTCAACTTTGTAACTCTTATGGTTGCTGAGAAAGAATTAAAGAAGAAATCCAAATTTCACCACTTCTTTAGGAGTGGCTCCCAAACGAAACACGTTGCAGCCCCGATTTATTTGGAAAAAGTGCTTGTCTTGATCCCCTCTATCACCCAATTTTTTTTACATACGGTCATGTAACACCCTGTATATCGACCAAATAAAAAAGAAATATATTTTATACTATTTTTTTATAGTACATAATTATGACACAAACGGCGCCTCATACGTTTAAGTCCGTTACACCTTATAAAGAAAGTTGTATATTTCATTGCATTTTTATTTTCAGCTATGTACATGGACGGCCAAGTGATAGCGAGAAAAGCGAGAGGTCTCCTACACCAATTTAGACAACTTAGAGAAATTCCGTGCACGCTGTCAGGCCTTTGCATGCGATGCGGCCCAGGCATATGGGACAGTTCGCATAGTCCAAGGGTATACTGCACCGGACACGAAAATGGATACTGTCCGAACATTAATTAATCAAATCGCACGCATGTACAAAGAGCATTTGTTCGCCCGAAAAAGTATTATTTTTAAACAATTTAGCCTAGATGAATAAATAAATATAAGCTATATTGTTGATGTTAAAAGAACTATTATCTATCAGCTCATGACCATATCATTATTCACTTGATGGATTGGTGACATGCTGGGTTTGTGATTTGTCATTCGGACGCGGTGCGAGTTTTTGACAATAAGATGCTTGGTGTCTTCATTTCTCAGTGTTTTTGCAGTATGCGTTCACTTAATACCTATTAGCATGCATGCAGTTTTCCAATCACTATTTACAGTTATAGTGCAGACTCAGAGTGTTGCTATGTGAGAGTTCCATCATATTGTACCTACATGTAAAATATCATATCTCTGTACACAGTTTGTTTTATATTTATTACTAAATTATATATTGTAAATGATATTAGCTATTAAATAAATATATTCATCACATACACTTTAATACCTTCGTATATATTTTTTTTTTAATTTCATTTGGCATTGAAACTATAGATATAGGACACGTGGAGAGTCTGGATATTTTTTTCTTTACACTTCTTGGTCCCACTCATAGCCAGAACCAGTTTTTGATTCCATATATGAACCGTAACTTCCTATAGGAAAGCCCACTGGCTACATTAGGTACTGTTGGACCGAAAAGGGCAATGTATGGAATTTGGACCCTGACGTTGTGACAGTTTGATATTATGTCAATTTAAATCGTTTTACAATTTTACAGAAGTTTTGTGCCTAGAAATAAATATAAATACTGGTTAAATAAATCAGGATTTTGCGTAAATTTGGACATAGTCCCGAAGTAAAAATCAGTTGAAATGACGTCATTCGAAAAAATATCCGTGTACGTCAAAACATGCATAATATTATTAACTAACTATCAACTTTCATCTCACACTTTTTTCAATCTAACGAATGGTTAAGGCTGTAACTCGCTGATTCCATACTTTTCCACCACTCCGTATATTTCTTGTGTCAAATCACAACACCCTATATTTTTTATGTTGGTATAATTGTGCATGTTAAAGTCACTAGATATAGTGACTTTAGTACATGTTTGTTTTGAACGCACCCTACCGTTAATCGTCCATTTTTTGAATTGTTTATTTCTTAAAATATGACGAAAAATCATAAAATGTCCTCGTTTTCTCCTGTAAAGGTTGAGGTGAAAGAAGAAAACCTCGTAGGTCATGATTATCTAATTGCCAAAGGCCGTTTAAAAGGAGTGCTACGCCAATTAACAGAACAGAGCGACTCCGATTCCGATTCCGTAGATGAAGCTGTCCATTACTCACCCCGAAAGACGTAAGAGGTACCTCATTCTCACCACTTTCCACGGAAAAGGTTTTCAGGGAATCACGCAAACGAAAAATCGCAGCACCGGTTCCGGTTCATCACACTTACGTGATGAAACTCTTCGATCGTAGCGTAGATCTGGCTCGGTTCGAAGAAGATACGCCATTGTACCCAATATGCCGCGCCTGGATGGCCAACTTACCGCGAAACCCCCAAGTGATCGTCAAGTACGTCTTGTACACTGGCCTACATTTTCACCTACTCTCTATTTTAGGAGGCGGCTATCCTCCCCCGAACCAGACAGTAACACTTGGAGCAATAACTTTACCGAAATAAATCGATTGCCACGCCCCTCCGAGGGATTTCGTACACGAATACCTTCACCGTTACCAGCTCAATTAGGCCGTAGCAAAGACGACGTCGATAAGATTAACTTTAATTATGTAAGGCTTCAAACCGCTTTGAAACGCAATTAACAAGTTTTCAGGAGGATAAATCGCCACTGTCTCGCGATATACTTATTCCCACGCACCTACGAAGATGGCGAAGCGTAAAAAAGAAGTGGATAAGTACGGCGCAAAAGAACGAAAGTCGTTATGAAAAAAGCATGCAAATACTCCAAACTATTTATAATAAGTAAGTTTTTTTTTTGTTTCGTTGATTGTTAATGTACGTTGTATTTTTTTATTTATTATGTGTGTTGTTTTAGAGCTCAAGAGACAATGGATTATTAGAAAGTTTTAGTTTTATTGCCGTGTTGAATGAATAAATGATTACCTTTCTTTAATGCGTTTTGTTTAATTTAATAATCGGCCACTGTAGAACAGGTGCTCATATCTCGTGTGGTGACTGAAAACAGACTAGTCGTGTTACAGTGACTATAAAGACAGTGTCGATAACAGGGTATCTCGTTTTTGATTGGTCGTTGGTTCCGGTCGCCATATTGGAGCTAAATTCCAAACTGGCCAATAGAAAGTTGTCGCCACTGTCCTTATAAAGTCACTGTAGCCGCTGTATGTGATGCAATTGTTTTTGAGCTACATTTTTAGCCACAAAACCACTGAGGCATGGTTGGTTTATATTATGGTTATGGGTTGACTGACTGTTTCAAAAGAGCTCCCACATATTATTCATAAATTTTCCTCTTTATTTTCTTTAGGTAACTTTGAAATACATAACAAGGAATCATAGAAAGAGCAAGTACCGATAATTCTGTCATCACCCCCTAAGTGACACCAATCTACTCCATACACCATGCTTTCGTGTTCATAGAAACTACAAACAATGTCCAAACCGTCTCCAAGGACGTGTGCTCCGCCTAACATACACGCACTAAGCAGAGACTTTGAATTAAACGGATCCCACTTTAATCGCCAGACTGGCCCTGGCATCTTAGTCAAACATTCCTCTACTTTCATATTGCGCACATCCCAAAGTCGCACATTTTCATCATAACTGAAAAGTGAAAGTTTTTAAACCTTCCACCTTCATTTCGAAAATACCTGCCAGTCGCTATTTGGAACTCTTTATTGATGTTCGAGTGCACACTTGTTACCCCAGCTTGATGAACTCTGTTCTTGTTCACCGGTGCCGTGCCAATGCGTGTATCAAAAGTTAATAACAAAGCATCGTCTCCTCCTGAACTCACAATTAATATTAATCCGCTCTCAAAAGATAGTCACCTGTATAAAACACAGCCGTGTTCCACGAGTAAAATGCTGCAATCCACGCTTCAAAGTCGTGCGCTTTAGCTGTATTTTGCAAAACCAAGTTGTTTTCGCAAAGCTCCAACTTATGCCAATTACCCTTCGAATCGCTACAGATCATTTCATGCTCTTTCGTCCAATCTACCGACAAAATCAGTGCTTCGCACGGTACAGTGCACGTAGTAATTAACATTAAACGCTCATTCTCAAATTTATAAACTTCAATTGCACTTGCTGCATTAACTACAGTCAAAATTGGGCAGTGAAGGCACCATTTCTGATCGAGAACAGCGGAGGTATTCACTGTTTGGCATAGCTGTAATTCATTTGCCGGAGTAATCGAAAATAATAGTATTCGTCCGATCCGCTCTTGCGTTTCTGTAAGTTGATAGTTTGCGCAGACAAAGAAATGCTGGTACGGTTTATGCGGGCACCATTCAACTGAATCGGCGTTAAATTCAGTTTTATATTTATGCAATGTTATAATTTGTTTAGTTTTATCTTCGCTCATTGTTGCAAAATTATATTTATAGGTTAGCACAAAAAAAGTAAGGTTATGTTACAATTCCAAAGACCTACCGCTGGTGTACAGTAGAACTACCAAATAACAGTTGATCTACTATAACTTTTGTCTCCATGAGCTCTCATGAGCTAACTTCGTTACTTTAAATAGCAACACCTATTTTTTAATATATTTTTGGATTATACGTGAAATTTCAGTTCTTTGGTACCCACATATCGATATCTACCATTTAAGGTTTTTAAGTTATTTTGACTTTAAGAAATAAAATTGAAGGATGTAGACGGTACCTTGATAATTGGTTATCTGAAAACGTTTGTGGTTATGGTAACCCATTAGTACCAGAGCATAGAGAAAGAATGGGGCTTTCTTTTAGTGTACTTAAAAAAAAGTTAAGTTGCGTACGACTCCACCTATGAAGATCCAAATAAGAAACTTCAAAGACTAAAAACTCAGTTTTGTTAAAAGGAATTATCATTTTCTTACTATTGCATTAAATAGAGAATCGAAAATTAGCATATTTTGATATTACATGTTCGTATAGCTATCTTGATTGATTGTATTGTTACAATTTTTCAGAAATGTAAGGTGGTAGTATGATCAATACACATTATAGTAACTACTTAGATCATTTGAGGTTACATTTATAAAAGCAGGTTTTTGCAAATTTTTTCAAGAAAATACCATTAAGTACGAACTAGTAAAAAGATTCAACACAATGATGTTTAGAACCAGAACCGTTGTAAATATGAACAAGTACAGTATTTCCTATAGGTCTGGACCTTTGGAACCGAAAAAAAAATCGGAACCGCAATTATTTTAAGAACCGCTGGACCGCAATCGTTATAAATATTGTTTCGATAAAAGTATTAGAACCTGAACCGTTATTTTCAATAGATGACTCATGCACTTACCTATAAGAAGCAGCTAAAGCCTTTTCAAGTCATCTTTAGATAGTCCCGAGGATAAGGCTAATAATCGAAGCACAAGATTCGCGGGCACACACATACACGGCACTTTACCAGTTTAATTTATACTTTAATAGGTAACCGAAGAAAGAAAATTAACACAAAAATCAAAAACGCGGCACATGAAGTAGACCGACGCGTACTAATGTGCACGATGGCGGTGGTACAAACGTCAACCGTACAGAAACGTCAGAAACTACGACAGCACAGACCATCAACGGTACGACAGGTTAGGGTGCGTCATAACGTCACAAAAGATAAGTTCCCCTCTCGATCCGCACCTTCAAAACTACCAGGGTCGCGTCTAACCTTTTTCGGGCCCTAGACACACAAACAGTGTAGGGCCCCTTACCCCCCTGGTTTATACTTATATCTCATAAAAACAAAGGTACCTACTTATGGTTTCAATTTTATTCAGTTAACTTAACAAACTCCCATAGAAAATACTATAATAAAATTTACTATTAAACTACTATAGAGAGTGTTATCTTGTGTGCACCATGCACCCACAATTATATTAATGATATTAAAGTATGTTTTATAATGTGTAAAGGTGCGTTTTCACGCTCATGCAATTTGCGCAAATTGATTTGTGCATGCCAATTTGTGCAAGTAAATTGATGCATGAAAACGAAAATTGTTTACTTGCACAAGCCAGAAAATTTGGCTTGAGTAAAATCTGGATGGTCAGATAATTTGCATGTGGTTGGTGCAAATGCATGAACGTGTAAACGACACAACAATTCGACACGTGCATAGAGAGTGAATAATAATAATAATAATTGTTGTTCCGACGTGCACGTGACTTTAATAGACTGTGTGGTTCGTTATTTTGTGTTTTGTTGGTGATAATGCCAAAGAAAGAAAAAGAGTTCATGGTACATTGGTTTATTGAGTTTTATAAATCCTTTCCTTGTCTCCTGCGATCTTCTTTTTTGCACTTTATGCAACTTAGCAGGCCCCCAATTTTAACGGGCCCTAGGCTCATGCCTACTGTGCCTAGGCGAAAACGCGGCACTGAAAACTACCCCTAATCACGGCAGCTACAAATCTTGTGATTTGTGCTTAGACCATATAGTACATGGACTGCTAATTGCAACTAATTTGGTCAAGGACATCGCCTGGGTATATAAGTTTCAGGGTAAACGAATCTATCCGAAGTTGTTCGATGAGACACGATTTGAACTGTCAACCTTTAAATTAACAAACGTCAAATAATTAATCGCATAGAAATGCCAAAAAATCAAACCTATTCTTATTTGTGGAAGTATAGAAGATAAAGAATAGCATTTAAAACATCTCGTACGACTTGATTGCTACAGAAGCTGCTGTTTTTGTGATACGAGTGGTGTTTACACGACTTTAGTTTACCCTGAGATTCACATACCCTAAAGTCACTAAATATAGAAAGTACCGCAATCCATTGGGCTCGTGTGTTAGAGAGAGAACGCATGATTTTTGCCCAAAAATGGCGGAAGTTACCAGATTCTAGTAACTTTAATGTTAGGGATTGTTCCACCTGTTTGGAGATATCTGTATATATTTTTATAAAACATGACAGTACTATGAAGTTAGGTTATGAAAAATGACAGCTATTCAGATTTTATTTTTCAATTTTTTTAAGTTGGCAGCAAATTTGCCCAAAAATGGCGGATGATTGCGGTACTTTCTATATCTAGTGACTTTAACATACCCACGACTACAGCGCCCCCTATCCGTGACCACCTATTTTGTATTGAAAGCATAGAGCGAATAGCAGTCCATGTACTATATGGTCTAAGGATTTGTGACTGCAGCGAGTGATTAGGCTACCGTCTTGGCCCGCAAAAACCATAGATTACAATAGGTTTTCGTACAAAAAGTGTGCACTAGTTCAACAAACGAACAAACCGAAATTAAATATACACAACAAAAGTAAAGATGTCAAATCAGTTTATTTTAACTTTGTAATTAAAATGACGTATTAAATATTAATATTTATTTTCTTGTCCCACTTAAAAGCACTTACCTACTTATTCTTTCCAGTTTATTATTATATTTCGTAAGTAAAAGTTTTAGAACAGCAACATAGTTCATATGATCTTGTAGTGATCAACATGGAGACTGTAGACATACAAGCAGTAGAATCGAAATTGAGCGATGTGACTGTAACCGCAATTCCGATGGTACCGAAGTCCGGCCAAAACCAACAACCGGGCCAGTCGAAGTACGCGCAACTTTTGGGCGTGATCGAAGAAATGGGACGCGAGGTCAGACCTACTTATGCGGGCAGTCGAAGTTCTGCAGAGAGATTAAAACGAGGAATCGTTCACGCTAGGATTTTAGTTCGAGAATGCTTAATAGAAACGGAACGGAGTGCTCGACAGTAACTGTTAAAGCGAGTATTAAATAAATCGGGTTATTTTATAGTACAAAAGTGTGTTACGAAGAAACTTGTTAATTTAGTTTGCACTCTGAGCCTATTCGGATGAATGGGCTAAGTGTAGGTTTTAGTAAAATCAAAGTAAATATGTTAATGTTATAGTCTAATTACTCAGGTGTCTTACAAATACGGATCATATTTTTACAACTGTATAAAAGTATAAATTTTGTATAAATCTACTGTAGTATGTACCAAATCACTTAAAGGCAATTGTGATTAGATAATAAATGATAGTTTTTTAAATTATGGATTCATTTATTATTGTTCAACAAATGCAACTTATCGCATTAGAGCCCTTTTAGGAAGAATAGATTGTCAGGGGAGCTATCTATCTATTCACAGGGAGCAGTTAGGCACGCCAAACGCCCATCATTCCTATCCCCTTTCTTTCGGAACTAGCTTCAGAGCTCGTTCCCCCCAATAAAGCATAGGACCTTGTTTGTCACAGTGGCAGACCACATGCTCAGTAGTTTCATCTGCCTCACCACAGAACCCACACATGGGCTCTCCTACAAGCCCATTATTGTGGAGGTGATAATTGACCATCCAGTACCCTGTAAGGACACTGGTGATCTTTCTAATTTGACTTCTATTCAGTTTTAGAGGCTTAGAAGACCTAGATTTGCCAATTAAGGGCCCTGGACTGTCTGAATCCGGTTGGTTGTTGCCACTGAACCTGGAATTGAGTGGTCACCCAGTCGTTAACCTGGCCCCACAATGAAGGGAGCAAATTCCTAAAAGGTATGCTCGGGCCTGACGAAGACCCCATCACGAGTCTGCTCGTTCGCCCTTTCGTTGTCCCTCAGTGCGCTGGCATCCAAATCAAGCTTACCCAATTATAGACTCAGTTCAACCCTTGCTCCCTGTCTGGGAAAGTGACCGCTTATAACTCTTCGGTCTGACAACCCGGATCACAATATTCCTTTCTTGCGAGGAGGGGTCGGATCTTAGGGTTTCCTTCCAAATCCGCCCATCCCCAAGACTGCTTTGATCCTTCCACTCATCCCAATTGTTTAGCCGTGTGGAAGCCTTCCGAGCATAAGTATAAGCTGTGGAGGCAGAGGCTCAGTGTAATGGTTCTAGTCCCAAAAATCCCTCCATGGACCAAGTTTGCGGGGTTTTCATGGATCCATTGACTCCCAGACACTAGACAGGTGAGTATCTCTGAGCGTACCTTTTCCTGTAGGTTTCCCTCCGTATGGTAGGCCACCATACATAAATGCCCCATGCAGTATATTATTGACCCTATCAGTATCACTACAGTAGTGTAATAATATAGTCAAGGCTTCAAGCCCTATGTACAATATCAAAAGCCCTTCTACATGCCTATAGAATTATGTTATCAAACATCTCTAAACCTTCCCCATATAGTTTTATTCGTTGAAGTTTTTAAAGTTAAAAGCGACTATAGTTTCGGCGTACTGCCATCATCAGGCGATGTGAAAGTTAACAGGAAAACGGTAAATTACAAACGTTGAAGACGGATAAGACGAACATGTTGTTTTTTTTTTAATTATTAACTGGCCGAAGCCAAGTGAAAAACCTGAAGGGTGGTTAAAACGGAAAGGTTGTCCTAAGTTTCAAGACGAATTAATTATCAAGCCTTGTTAAGATAACCAACCGGGGGGATGATGGCAGTACGCCGAAACTATAGTCGCTGTTATTTTTAAAAACTTCAACGAATAAAACTATATGGGGAAGGTTTAGAGATTTTTGATAACATAATATATTTCAACCCCCATTTCGAGGAACGATGGATCCAACTCAAAAAAATGCCTATTGAAGCTGCAGAGTTGCCTCTTTCTGCTTTTCCCTCGATATGTGTTCCGTTTCCAGGTCAGGCGGGACTACCACACTACCCTTTTCAGATCCACTTGACGTCCTTGAAGAGTGAGCCGATCAAGGTCCGCCCCTCTCTGTGGACGACCTCTACTATCCGATGAGCTCATCTCCGTCGAGGATATAATGAATCGCTTCCGAGAATGGCGCGTATCCATCTTATTACGATTGACCCATCAATGCCAAAGCCTTCATCACCCTCACTAATTGAATCAAAGGTCGTGCTGTTAAACCAGGCGCACCCTCGGTATCTAGAAACGCTCCCAGTCCTCTCCCCTGCAAACATCTGCACACGAGGCTGTGAAGAGCCATCTCCGTGGACATCAGTCCTGTAAGCATGTTGGAATGGATGTAGCGGTCTATAAGGACCAGTATATTAGTATACCCCATTCCTCATGTATCAATCCACCATCTTCACCGTTTTTAGAAGAAACGATGATTAGTTTCCAGGAGACATGTGAGAGCCTCACCCGCGGTAGGCGTATATCTGACCCATGGAAGCCTCAGTCTCCTCTATTTTTGCCCCGGCGAGTTTTTCAAAAGGATCTATTACTTCATGAAGACCCTCTATAATATGTTAACACAGAAGGTCCCTATGATAATCTTCTCTTATACCTTCGAATATTGTCCTTACACCTGAGTTGAGTGATCTTGAGATCTTCCCAGCCAGTGTCCGCAGGCAGCTTAGTCCGCATGACCCTTTTTGAAGAACCTCTTTACGAACCTTTTCAAGGTCTTAGTTCCGCCAAGGTGTGCATACGGAGTACAGACAGATACGCAGAAGGTTCGAATACTTAGGTACATGTATTAAAAGATGTCAATAATTCACGGATTTTTATGGTCTTTGATATATAAGCTAACTGAGATGATACTTTTCGGACAGAATATAAGAAATCGGTAAAAAGCCAGCATGTTTCATTCCTCTGACTACAGGACAGCCTCTTTAGCCAGATTTTAAGAATAGATAGAGTTTAGAAATGGATCACCAGGAATGCATTTAGGATGCTGAGGGTGACAATATGCAAATCTTTCCCACTTTCATCCCTTATTTGCCTGGAATAACATTGCCGCCATCTATTGTTCATTTAGATTTCTAACGCCAAAAAAAGCTGTCCATTAGTGCTAAAAGATGTCACTATCAGTCTTAACCAATTGTCACATTTGACATCTGGGTGTAGATAGAAAATTAAAATAATTAGCAATTTTCCACTTAATAACGATTTAAATTCCAAAACGTTTTCATAATGTATTTATTCAAAGACAGTATATCTGTAAAGTGATCGGAATGCGCGGTTTTTTGTGTTTAGATTGTCTGCAACCGTCGTCCAATCAATGGGGGCACCGTGAAGAATTTTCATTGACGGTGAGCGAATTTTATTTATTTATTATCCATATAAAGATCGTTTACACTTTATGTATTATTAGATTAATATGAACAAATGGTATTAATTGCCTTTGGTGCTCATTGGATGCCCTCATTCTATTAAAAGAAAGAAACACAAAAGCTTATATAAATGTATTCTGTTCCAGTTTATTTTCATTAAAGTATTTCTACGCTGACACCTGTGCTGTTTATTTTTACAAAACGATTTTTGGAGTAGATCGAAAGAAGGAATGTATAACATCTGCTTGACGTTCATAAAAAAGTAGCTTTACGTTGGTAAAGAATAAGGCACATGTTTTCATATTACGGATGTACAACTTTTTGCTTGCAAGGCTTGACGTACTTACAAACCGAGTGGAAAATGTATTACAAAGTGTTCATTTGCTTATGCATAATTTAATTAACTCCACACTTTAAAAGGCTACCAAATTTTTGCTTCTGTGTCTATTGCGGGCATTATTGACATTGTTTAATTATGTTTACCATGCCTGTGCTGCTTGAAAAATATGCAGATAAGAACTGATAACGAATTTTTTGTAATTGCTGTTTCGTTTCATGTTGAATAAGGAAAGTAGGTATGTTTTTATTATTGGTCCGCAATCTGCAAATTTTGTGGTTTTTTATGTGTTGTGCCCTATTTCACCATGCAGAAGCTTTAATTAGTGTCTACTATATGGTTCATCAGGTAACATTCTCCGGGGTTAATGTGCCAGTGCTTGTTATGTACAGGGTGGGTTGTGATCGACATACAAGATGGTGCAGATCAAGTGGGACTCGAGGTGAGACTGATATTACAGATTTAACACACAAGGTTCCTGGCTTGGCTACAAGGGTCCTGGGTTCGAATCCCAGGTAAGGCATGGCTGTTTGTTATTGTAGGTATAGTGGGTTGAGTGGGAAGAGTAGCAAATTGCCAACACTCCGCCCACTATAAAATAAAGGCAATAAAAATAAAAACAATTTAAAAAAAAATGAAAACCACTAATTTCAAACAAAACAATTATCTCTTATGAGATAAAGTTTAATATGAAATAATATGTTGAATTTTGGCAGATTAATGAAAGTTTTTGTTTTTTTTATTTAAGGATAAAAGATGACCTAATTAATTATTTTAATGACAAACTTAATAATTAATTTTGCTGATAATCTGCCTACTGAAAGGTAAATATCTGTACATAATTTGTACATCATGTTTATATCTCGGTTTATATGTACCTCGATATGTACCTATATGAAGTACTTAATTGATAATTTTTAAAGTATTGGTTTACGCAACAAAAAATTCTGGAAAAACTTTTTATACATAAAAAATTGTTCTAAAAAAATCTTGTCAGACTTTTTCTTGTTATAGTCCAAGATCCCAGGACCCTCAGATCTTACTTATTTTCTAATTTATAATTATTAGTGTGGACAATGGACGTATACACACCCCCTAGCTCGAGCCCTAGCTTGGGCCAACGGCCAATTCTCATGTATCAGGTGGTACAGTTACGTAAAAATTGTACTCACAGTCAAAGGACTGATTCTTACATAGGGAATATTGTAAATTATTAGAAATTCATACTGCCAGATACCTTCTGTTGGCAGTACCTATTGCCAGGCACTTTTAGTTTATCGAAAGCAAAAAACCACCTAATTCTTACCGTCCGAGACTTGATTTTTATCTATGAAGTTTAGGGGGCTATTTTAACATATTTTGTAAGCTTCCAGACCAATCGTAGGGAGCAATCATCCCCTAAGTAGGTTTGTATGACTTCATGTTTTTGGTTCTCTATTATGAACGAAATTTCCGAGGAAATATCTGTATTAAGTATACAGGGTGATTCAAATTCGTGGCTAATCATTGGGATCTCTGCAACAGTGAGATATACAGTGTGTGGTGCCTCTTTCTGTGATTTTTGAAAAATGTCTTATCGACGAATGAGACGGAGAACAAAAAAAGAAAAATAATGACGTAATTTACAAGAAACATTTCAAAATCAAAAATTTTACATTCATTTCTCATCAAAACGTCCACAGGTAAGTAAGTAGATCTTTCTGAGTCAACATGGCTATAATGGCGATGCATTCAAATGAATTTCTTTTTTGTCCACTATTTCATTCTTGATTTTTTTTCAATAAATGCAATGGCCTTTGTATACCTTTTTTTTTAAAACACGCTATCAAAATTATCAAAGGTGACATCAGATAATTAATTCAGGACATATGTTTGACTTCTGTAACGAAGCATACCTCGCTTCTGTTTCTAGCTCTTCAACTGTGGGAGTGATGTCAATAATTTTGCGTCTGTGACAAGCTATTAGATTAGATGAAAAATCTAATAATTCTTGTGGCACTGATGCTTCTCCCATATTGTAGCGAATATTCCAGAAGTCCCGATAGACAACGAGGCGCCATGAAAGATTAGTCATCGGCGATAAAGAACGCAAACGAATGTGCTCAATCTTTCCGGGAAATATAACGTGTTTTATTCTAGAACGTTCGGAAGCTTTCGTTAAAACCGAATTGTGATTCAGTTCAGTTTCAATTTCAACGCCGAAGTAATAAATAGTTCGCGCTGTTATAAATTTTATATTGTGAGTGATAAATAACAGTACAATGTTATAAATCAATTCATTTCAAGATTGTGTATTAATTATAAATACTTAAAGCAAGTAATTAAATTTACGTTACAGTATTTATTTTCATAATCAGTAGCACTAGGGAGAATATCTTCATCTTTTAATTATTGCTTCAATGATTATTTGTCAATGCTAGTAATATTCTTAGGAGCGATTAATATACACTGTGTCCAAAATTAGAGAAAAGATGTTCAATTACAGAGTTACCAGTTACTAGAAAATTTCGATTACTTCCGAGGATATTTTAGAAAAACCGAAATTTGCCGATTTCGTTTCTGTTTTTTCCTGGTGTTATTTGAGCAGCTACAGAAAAATAAAAAAACACTTTCTCATTGTCACTTTTTGAGCTCTACAAGACACCCTCGAGAGACTTCCAATACAACGACGTCCTAGATGATAGTGTTAGGGACAAGAGACGAGGGGAATTAAAAACATAATAATAGTTTATTCTTTAATTAATATTTGTGAAATGAACTCTTTTCATTTAAAATCTTCACAAACATTTTACAATAAATGCGCCATGGCAATTAGAAAGCGTACGAGTGTTCCAGAATAGTCAAATGGCATTTTATACCAACAAGTAAATGTCTCAATAATCGTCTAAATAATTTATAATAAAATAATATATTGGCTTTGCATGCTAATTTGGTTTGTATGCTACGTTATATTTCCCGATAAGTGTGAAACATCACACACACTCACACAACTCACATCTTTTTCGTTGACTGTGCCCCTTTTAATTTCTGTCTAACGCGCGAATGCATAAATGACAGTACTCAGGACCTACTGACTACGAGAACGTGGATGTATTAGGGGTTGAAATGGACATTGGTATGCAGAACCAAGTTGGAGGCTCGATGCCCCCACTGACAGAATATTAATAATAATAATGATTTATTGTAGTAGGCCTAGGTCTGCTTTTTACAGAATCAACATTTAAGGCACTATTTGACCTTACTGTCAGCCGTAATAAACAATTTAAAACCAACTTTCTTTGAAACACTTCAATGCATATTCATGAAGTGATAAAATTTAAATATGAGTCAATTATAAGAGGAGGAATTAATTAATGATTTCAGCTAGCTAATTTACTACCGGCTTGCGTTATTAAACTGAATTCCATTTCCAATGAGAAATAATTGACAGCCGAACGCAAAGTTTCGCGGAGCTTAATTTTCGTTAATAATAAAGCACATATACAAGCCTGTAACTCCTAACTTGAATTTAGTCCGTCCCTGACCATCGCCCCCATCTGTTGCATTTATTCATACCAGACCACACACAGATTTATATAGAGTTATAGCTACTTGCAAATATTATATCTAATTCAATTAATTAGTGTTAATTGAAAAGAATTTACCTTGTATTCCGATAGTGGGTTCGGGTTGAATATACCAAAATGCTTCTGAACCCGAACGCTTTCTTTACAAGTTCCAAGAATATTCACTCGCAAAAATCACATTAAAGCAATCACGCTTGTTAGAGCGTACATTCTTTGACGTATATTGCTTTTGTCGCATAACAACTGAATTCTGTGCATTTAGTAACGGCTTCCAATTATTCTTATACAATTTATGACCTATGAATTGCGCTAAACAAACGTCATCCGTTTAAACGGTTTAAAGGCAGGCCTGTGGGGGCGTCTAACAAGTTACGAGCACAAAATTTAGAATTGCAAATGTGAATATCTAAAAAACGGACTGTCAGAAGAGGCTATTTGCAAATGATACCTAGATGTAGTACACGAAGCGCATCCTTCCGTAGGGTGGAAACTTCAAATGTGAAAATCTCAAAAACGAAGTGTTGGAAAAGAGTACTCACAAAGTGAAAATGAACTAATTGTGGGCACAGCATCCAGAGATTACTGACCAAATTTCAAAGAAACCCCTTAAAAGCATAATTCTGCATTATTGACATGTCAAAGCCACATTTGGTACTCTGACAATTTATAAAAAATAAAAATAAAATAAAAAATAAAAAAATAAAATAAAATAAAAAAATATAAAATAAAATAAAAATAAAATAATTCTTCTAATTTTACTCAACTGCTCATATTGTTCCAAGACTCACCTTTTTGTTATTTACAGATGACACTTGATGCAAATTTTAGAAATTACGCCTTCACCTCTTGATTGAGGTCAAGCGTGCGCAAATGAATCGCCCAACTTCCGGGAATAAAGTCCACAGGAGGGCCGAATCGGGTGGACATCATCGTCAAAGCTCCTCCGGTTCCGGCCATCACAGATCCGATTCGGCTCAAAGCTGCGACCTGGACATTCAGCACGAAACGAAACATCACCGCTCACGATCGGGACCTTACGAGAAGAACGAGTTGCGGCACGATTCCAGCGGATCTCAACGTGCGGTAGTCGGTTTCGTGTTTGACGTTTTTAAAAAAAATTATTTTCAGTGACGTCAAGATCGAGCATGAACGAGACACCCTACCCTCGTCCGACGTCGTTATTTCCTACAAGTGGTGATAGCAATGACTCGTTACGTCTCGAGCGGGAGCCGTTAAAGTTCGAAGTTAATTTGGTCGGTGCGCCGCCTGAAGTCGAGCAGCTTGTGAATAACATCAAACAGGTTGCGGAGCAGTTCTTGTATCATTGGAAGATGTTCCCTATCGGTAAGTTGGCACTAAAACGTATTTTTTGTTCTCTGCACCGATTGATTCTAAAAAATTCGCGCGCGTCATTTTTCCAGTGCTTCCCGCGCCGATTTTCCAAAAAGATCTGCTCCCTCCCCCTCAGCAAATCGCCTCGGATGGTTCTTTAGGGAGGTATAAGATTAAGTACCACCTTAGGGAATTATACCTGCGAGATCTTTTCGTGGCGCCGTCGTTTGACGAGCTCGACGCGGTCGCCGTCGATTCCAAGGGTGAACCGAGGAAATTAACCGGAAAGCAACTGGAATCAATTCGAGAGAGGGGGTATGCTAAATTTCTATCATCTAATGCATGTGGTTCAGTTTGTAATTTTTTCCTTTCAATAAATTCTTTGTACCGAATTGTGTTATAAGCTTAAACTTAGATCACAGTGTTATAAGTAAGCTAATTCACAGCGTATGTTGTTCTGTAAAGCTTGCACAAGGATAAGTATGGAAAGCCTAAACGTTTGAACTCCCAACAACTTGACTCAATCAGGCACTTAGGGTATGTCTGTGTGATGTGCATCAGTAACCTATTTGTGTACTTTTTTTGTTGACGTGTATCTAACTACACTTTTTTCTATTTTTTTTCAAAACGGTGTGCAGAGTGTTTTTGCTCTTGTGCATTTTACAGTAACGACATCTAATTTTTTTGACACCGAAAGCGGATGATCTCCACTGGGAATTGATCATCCGCGCCTGAGTTTTTTACAATAGTAACGTTGGCCGTTATGTTTTTCAGTCAATTCGAAGTTGAGTCGCTTAATTTTCCTGGCCAGCAACACTGTTGGAGGCTTT